GACCGCTATGGTTTTAGCTCTAGAACAAGATGATTTGACAAAAGTCATACATGACAGACAGTAATAATGATAACTTGAGCTAAGATTGGTGTTGCTTCAACTTTCTGCTTCTTTAAAGACTTGACATCCTTTAACTAATGAATGAAAGATGACTAACTTAAATGCAATCCACACTTTGGTGAAATCTATTTTGGAGAATACAAGAAAGTCCTACATGAATTAAAATTATAAGTAAAATCTTGTAATTACAATCTATTAATATTATAAGAAAAATCATGTAATTACAAATCATGCTGAAATCTATTACATTAAAATCATGTAATTACAATCTATTAAAATCTCAATTGAATACACCCACCTAAAATTTGACGGGGTGTAAAAAGAATGTGGAAAAAAGAGAGTAAATTTTGATGTGCCAATAAACTCACCCTTTGACAAATCCTGTCACCCAACCCACTTACATGATTAAAATATTTTATTTGAGTTTATTGTATTGTATTAGGCTATTAGCTAGCCAACTAACTAATTTTAATTCATTCATTTATCAACAGTCAACACAAAACTTTCAAATATAACTGCCCGGCCTTTGGCCACGTATTACATATGCATGACGCATGCATGTTTTATGTTATGTTGGTCGCCTTTCTATTTCTTCTATATTTTTTTTTCTATTTCTATGGAAGCAAGAGTGCGATGATAGAATCATTCAGGAAAATTAAAGCTCAATATAGTCTAACCCATTAAAAAAGGGTCTTAACCTACAAATTAAAAGTCTTATGTTCGAACATCCATAACATTCATCATTTCTTGTGTAAGAAACTTCATCTCTTATAATTTAGACTATTGCTTGTAATTGTTTTTAAAAAAGTAATGATACTAATTAATAATAAATAATATTATAGTTAGTACGCTAATAGGAAAAGGAGACTTGATAAATTAAAAGTGTAGAAAGAGTTGCATCGTAGGTAATCCGTCGCATCCACTTCTCAACCTCCGTTCCATAGTCTCCTCTCTCTCTCTCTCCCCTTTCCACTCCAAAAGTTTTATCGACTCTGTATTTTTTACCGTACTACTTTCTTACAAAACCCTCCATATTTTAATTCCTAATCACTACACCTACCTTAATTCCTATCTGTATATAATAATATAATATTCCCCAAACTCAAATTCACTAGTTTTCTGCTTACTCGAACTAAAAGAGAGACATTTATTCAGTCGTACACGTAAGCATGCATATGCATTCAGTTACCTGCTTACTTGCATTTGAAAACAAAGAAAAGCAGGCAAACATAAAGAAATATGTGTATATATATATATGGCAGCAAAGTAAAGCAGCCTGCCACACGGTACATTTCCGCTCACCAAAATCAAAACCCGTTGGGTAAAATATACAAAACATGCACGCCAAGAAACACACACTCCAGAATTACAAGTCATGAGTGATGAGATGACCACCTTCTCCTCCACTCTCCAGACTCCACCCCCTCATATAACACATGACCGCCCCCACCGTACCACTGCTCAACCTAATTAACCAACCAACCATTATATATTACATACATATATACTCTCTCCTTCTCAATATTAATACCTGCATAACCCACTCTCTCATCACATATCTCACATGCCCTTCTCCTCCTCTCATTCAAACAAAATGATCACCCCTCCTCCTCCTCCTCCTCCTCCTACTTCTAATCTCACCTGCCTCGCCTCCTCTGAAAACTTTGTAGTCGGAAACTTAGTTGCTCGGCAACTCTTTTTCCTCCACCATATCCAAATCTTGGAGCTCTTTCTGGCTCTCTTTGTTTTTGTAACCATACACTCCTTGAGGCAGAAGAGGCAGCATGGCCTACCCCTTTGGCCCCTGCTTGGCATGTTACCCTCTCTCTCTCTTGCCTTACTTCAACCCCAAACCAACCTGTATGAGTGGGTTTCCGAAATTCTTTGCCGTCAAAACGGGACGTTTTGGTTCAAAGGCCCTTCCTTGAGCAGCTTCAACTGCGTCGTCACTTCCGACCCTCGTAACTTGGAGCACCTACTCAAGACAAAGTTCTCCATTTTCCCCAAAGGCCCTTACTTCAGAGACACCGTTCGGGATCTTCTTGGGGATGGCATATTCAGCGCAGACGACGAGACCTGGCAGCGACAAAGGAAGACGGCCAGCATTGAATTCCACTCAGCTAAGTTCCGCCAACTGACTGCGGATTCCTTGTTCGAGCTGGTCCACGCCCGCCTCCTACCTGTCTTAGAGGACTCCATCAAACACTCGGCTGCTGCAATTGACCTCCAAGACATTCTTTTGAGGTTAACTTTTGATAACGTTTGCATGATCGCATTTGGAGTCGATCCCGGCTGCTTGCAGCTGGGGTTACCCCAAATACCATTTGCTCAGGCATTTGAGGACGCAACAGAAGCAACGATGATACGCTTTGTGACCCCCATGGGCTTGTGGAAGGCCATGAGGTACCTTAACTTGGGGGTGGAGAGGAAGCTTAAGATGTCCATCAAAGGAGTGGATGAGTTCGCCGAGGATGTCATTCGGACGAGGAAGAAAGAACTTGCATCATTACAGCTCAATAATAATTCTGGTGGTGGTGTTACTGAAACTGATCATACGAAGGAGCAAAGATCAGACCTGTTAACGGTGTTTATGGGGTTGAAGGACGAGAACGGAGAGGCGTTTTCAGACAAGTTCTTGAGGGATATATGCGTCAACTTCATACTGGCTGGGAGGGACACGTCATCAGTGGCGCTGAGCTGGTTCTTCTGGCTGCTTCATAAAAATCCGGAGGTGGAGCACAAGATTCTTCAAGAACTGTGCAGGATAGTGGGTGCAAGGTCATCATCAGATCACGACCGTCGATCTCATGCCAACGATGGTGATGATGAAACTGTAGTCTTCAAGCCAGAAGAGATAAAGAAGATGGAGTATCTTCAGGCAGCTCTCTCAGAGGCTCTAAGGTTGTATCCTTCGGTTCCACTGGATCACAAGGAGGTAAATTTTTTTTTTTTTTTTTTTGATTAAGCAAGGAGGTAAATTCAATTGCGCATCGATCATTTATTTATTTATTCTTTTATTAGTTTGAACACAATTCATATATAGATTGGTAATTATTCTTTTATATAATATTCCAGAAAATAAAAATAAAAATAAAAAAGCATTTTGATTCATATTTCCGGATGGAACAATACTGAAGAAGGGAACAAAAGTGATATACGCAATTTACAGCATGGGGCGAATGGAGGCAATTTGGGGAAAGGACTGCAGGGACTACAAGCCTGAGAGGTGGCTACGACCTTCGGACGGCCGCTTCATGAGCGAGCCGGCCTACAAATTTACAGCTTTCAATGGCGGTCCTCGGCTGTGCTTGGGGAAAGATTTCGCTTATTATCAAATGAAGTTCGTTGCTGCCTCCATAATTTATCGATACCATGTGAAGGTGGTGGAGCATCACCCCGTGCAGCCAAAGCTCGCATTGACAATGTACATGAAGCATGGCTTGAAGGTCACTCTCCAAAGGCGTGACAATGCTGAGCGCCAAACGTTAATCAATAGTTTGCAGATTAATCCTAGTATATAATTAGTTAAGTGTCATATCCTATATCTATATATTATATGGTAGCGTTCATACTATGTACCTTTTTTTTGTTTTTTGTTTTTGTGTGGTTTTGTTTTGAGGTGGGGGTATTTGGTGATCTTGTTGTCTTTTACAGATAAATGGTGGTATTTCCATACCCATAAAGATGATTGAAAATCTGTAGAGTATATAGATATAGGGCAGGGATGCATTTGGGAATATGGTTATATTTGAATAAATAATGGAGTTGTGTGTACGCTTGGATTGTTGAAAATTTGGATTCTTCCTCATATACATTTGAATAATCCACATATAATTTGTTCATCTCTCTCTCTCTCTCTCTCTCTCTCTCTTATATATTCATCACACAACGTTAACGTTGGTGTAGAGATAAGAGACTGAGTATGCAAGCAAGTGCGGCTGTATCTATCACTGAAGCAAGCTATATGTATCTATTGAGCTTACCTTTCCAAATTCCTATTAGTTCCTGTTCCTCCCCCAAAGAAAGGATAGATATATAATGAGCAATTCCTTCCCTTCCTTCCCAAGTTGTGTTGGGTTGGGTGGGCCCACGCACAAGCTCCTATATCCTATGGGAAAGCTAGTATAGTTTTTTGGAAAAACAGTTTTGCTTCTATAGTTTTGATTTGACAGACGATTTTCATACATTTCATTTCACACTTCATTGCTTCTGTTCTGTTCTGTCGGCATTTCATCAAATACGCAAGCCTCCCTCAAGCGTCAAGCCTCGCTGGTGGGAATACGAATTACATAGAACTAGAATAGGGAAGTTTGGAGACCAACTCATGACCTCAGTCAACACTCTTTGCACTGCAGTCTGCAGTTGGGTTTGAAACTTTGAACTCCATCCCGCCAACGTGATGCTTTTTTCTCTGTTTGAGGTTGGTGCATATTTTTGCTTTCTCTACCAGCATACCTCGGTCCGTACTCGACCCTCACCTTAAAGTTAACTAACATCATGACAATACAAGAAAGATTACTTCTAAACTCACCAACTTTGTTTACCAATTTCTGTTTGTCCAATGATGTACCATTTTTGAATTTATGCAAATATGAACCAACTTTGAATTTCACATTTCTAACAGATAAAATACTTAAATGTGCGCTAGCACATAACCTGGGAGAAAATTTGGTGAATAAGATGTGGTGACCATGAGCAACAGAAATCAGGTACTATACACCGTCTCATAATCCGTGGATACGATTAGGATGTATTGATCCAATAGACTCGTTGAAGAAAAAAATCCTAGAAGAGCTGGTTCTCATTCCTACTACACTTATCAAATCTTCATCAAACAATCAAAAAGAGAACTGTAATGTTTTGAATTTTTTTCCACTCCCTTGGTTGGTGTTCATCTACTTAGCACAGCCCTCAAAGAAAAAACTCATGCTATGAATATATTTTGTAATACAGTTGCATAAATTCAAGCAATAGGTTTTGAATATTATATCCCGCATCTTGAAGCTGGCTCCAGGAGCAAAATCAATAAGTTCAAACATAATCAGAAAATTCAACATCGCTAGCATCATGTATGCTATAATTCTGTTGCCTTATTCTGAAGTGCGACAGAGTTACATCTCACTTATCTGAGAGTAAACTTACCTCATTCAAGCTCTCCCATCCCACTCTTCATAGAACTCCGCAAGAAACTCCTCCATGAACTTGTGCCTTCTCTCAGCTCTCTTTTGCCCAGCCTGAAATCAATGTTCAAACCCCATAGCACAAATTGATAATTCTTTACATTTTTCTCGTTATTCAAAAGATGGATTTACCACCCGGCTATTCTCATTGTACAGATAATATATATATATATATATATGCACTTTAGCACAAGCACAGATGAGACACGAAGATGCATGGTGGATGCAAATGAGGAAAATTCCATGTGAGGAATGTGTAATATCATGCTTCAGTTTCAACAAATTTACCTTTGTTTTCATCAATGCCTTTAGCTTAAGAAGCTTCTCATGAAAGTGATTTACAGTAGTCTGCTCATCATTGTTCACGTACTTTTCCTTAGATAAATCAGATTGTGCCTGAATATTAGGATCATGAAGCACTCTGTTTCTACTTCCACCAAAAGTAAAGCAACGAGCAATTCCTGTACCAAAAGACTACTTAGGAGTGTGCACCAGCGTGAAATGGCATAATTTGTTCTATCGTCTAAAGCATTTTTTAACAAACTTCACAATGGAGATACCTCAAACAAAAAAGGGGAATGGATTAAGGCAAGGAAAGAGAAATATATGGACCAAATCAAAGCGAAAGGTCATAGCCAGAAAAACAAACACAAACACACAAACACACAAATAGAGAGAGAGAGAGAGAGAGAGAGAGAGAGAGAGAGAGAGAGAGAGAGAGAGAGAGAGAGAGAGAGGGTGGAAAGACATGAAACTTTTCTGTCTTTCATTATAGGCAATTAAGAAGACACCAAAGATCGTTGGGGCATAGAGCAAACAGCTATGCACAACTGTTACTTTTACAGCAGTAATCCCAATTTTAATTTTACAAAGAGAAAGTAGGTAGACAAAATCCAATGGTTTTGGAACCAAGCATTTGATTAGCAAGTACAAATTACCAATAGCACCAATTGCATCGAGACGGTCAGCATCTTGTACAACCCCAAATTCTGGAGGAAGATCATTTTTTGCCGACCCTGCCAGCTCATCTTTGAAACCTGGAAAGTAGAAGTACAGGTAGAGCACCAAATGAATGAACAAAGGAGCGGGAAGAAAGATCAGAATTGAACAAAAAATTAAAAAAATACACTGAAATTGCAAAATTGCATATGATTATTAAGTGGTATAAAACATTACATGGCGAAAACAGGGGATGCATATTTTAGTGCACGTGTTTACACACACACCTATATGGGAAAGAGACATGGCGTGGACACTGATGCAGTACAAAATGCTGATATGGAGAATATACCATTAAACTCAAACAAATGTAATCAAGATTATATCAGCAGAGCAGAACAGGGAAGAAACAAAGTTGAGAAGGAGCAGCAACCAACTTACAACTCACCCATTCCCTTAATGATCCTTAAAATCTTCATTTTGGAACTCTCTTCTATGCCCTCCTCATCAAGAAAGTTTTCAACAATTTTTTCCTCTGAGGGATCTCTACATTCCAACATTAGCCATAAGGATGAATAGATGCAAGAACCATAAAAGAAAATAGAAAAGAGAAAAAGGTAAAAGAAAAGAAAGAACGAGAATAATACAAACCTCAAATACTTATAATCACCTGCAATGAACAACCAAGGACTAATATGGTCAGTAGGATATATAGGATGAGAACAGGAAAATAAAAGCAATGCTGAAAACCATGGAGAACAGAATTTGCAGAAATGAGTTTGTTTGTGTAGATATATGCATACCATTATTATGAGTTGAGTTGATTAGTACAGCTCACATAAGCAAGAAGGCAAGTGGTTACATGTAGCCAAAGAGAAGTTAAAAGTAAAGATTTAGGAATGGGCGCATGTTTTGCAGTATGATTCTTCCCCCAAAAAACTCCATATCCATTATCCACCCAAATGTAATCCATTTAATTGAAGCACACAAAAACAAGCTTCAAAGTTATGATCTTAACACTGACCTATATCATGGAGAAGTGCAGCAAGTTCGACCTGCAGAAGAAGAAAATTATCGATTAAGAAACTTTATAAAAGTCCTTCAGTTCCAAAACTCATTTAGACAAGATATCAAGAAGATAATAAATAAAGGAATGAATAGTTCGAACAATTTGCATGGTATTGGAATTGGAGGAGGGGAGGGAGAGGCCTTGTTCTTCACGGGCAAGAGAGAGAGCGAGGTCTCTGACCCTCCAGACGTGAGCTGCGTCGTGGGATGCATCATTGTCTTTCATGGCTTCCTCGACCAGCTTCTCTGCCTTTCTCACCGTCTCTTCCCATGAACCCACTGACCCCATCGTTCTCTTCCCTTCCCTTCCCTTCCCTTCCCTGCTTTAATTTCTTCTCTCTCCCTAGAGGGCAGGCACTAATCGATACTTGGTATTTGGATTGGAGTGGAAAATTTGACTGGAAGGTTTGACTGGAAGACTTGCAGTTAATTTTGTTTTTGGTAAACTACAATAAACCCTCCAACCTACAGGGTCATTTATAAGTTCATATCCGATTTTAGGGACATTTACGAGTACATACCCAAAGTTGCAGAAAACCTACAAATTGCCATCTCGTTAGCGAGATTGTCAGAAAATCCATTATTTGCCTACTGGCATTTGTGGGACCCATTTTTAATTGACGTGGAGTTCCACGTGGACAAAAAATAATAAAAAAATTTAACATATTAAATTATTGGGCTAACGACAAAAAACACCTTACTGGTTTATGGTCATTCTCAAATTGGACCCCACAGTATCAATTTTATCAATTTACGCCCTAATGTTTTGAACATCGTCCAATTTCATCCTTCCGTTAAGTTGACCAGACGATCAATCGTTAACTGCTGACGTGGCACCCGTGGGACCCACCCCACTAGCGATTTGACTATTCCTCTCATGCCATCTGAAGGGCAGTTTTGGGTTTCTACAATTCAAAAAATAAAAAAATGAACATCGCGCCCAAAATTGGGCATGCTTTGCAAGAAGACGACTGAAGTAAAAACCCCCAAACCGTCGTCCGTCCTCAACCTCAGTTTAACCTAAATCCTAAATCTCCATAGCTGACAGCAAGTTCTATGATTTCGAAGAAGTGAGAAGAAATGAGTTGGGATTTCAAGGCTCCAGGCGCTTCGCATCCATCGTACGGTAAGTTGGTTTAAATTTTTACAATTTGGGATATTTGTGTTGAATGAGTTAGAGGTCGTATAGGGTATTCTGGTTTGGATGTTGTGTTTTTTAGGGTTTAGTGGAATAATGGGAGAAGTATGAAAGATTTTGTCAATTATAAGTAGCCTTCTTGCAGATTTCGAATATAGGTGGTCCTTCAAGCTAAGCATGTGCTGGCAATGTCTGCCTTTAATATTCTAAGCGTCTGCTTTTAATAATGCAAAAGTGTTAGGTGGAAGGGTGTGAAAAGGGTTGTTTAATAAAAATTTGGACTTTTATATAATGGTCATAAACTCAAAATAATTGAAAAGTCAGTTATGATTTTTGTGTAATGTTTGAATACTGTGTTTTGTGTTGTGTTTTATGTTTGAACTAAAAATAACCCATGTTTGGGACATGTAATATGTAGGTGATCCTGAATTGTTTTCTATTTGAATGTACCATGGTGGTCAAATCTGTGGTAACTGTTATTCTTCTGGCACTGTAGCTTGGTTTGATTATTGTCACAAGGATAGAATGTCAATGACTGAGATAGACAATATGGTGAATGAGTTAGGCTATGATGGGGTGATTAGTTATTTGTATAGTATCCCTATCTATAGCAATGGTGGCCTAACAAAGCTTAATGATGATCAAGATGTCATAGATATGCTTGTATTTGTACCAAAGACAAGGCTAATAGACATCTTCCTATATCATGGGGTTGATAGTAATGAGGGTTGGTTTTATAGTTAATCAGGATCAAATCTGTTTGTAGATGTAGAAACTGATATTGTGCCTAACAGAGGAGTTGTGATTGAGGAGCTTGATGACAATTATGGAGCTATTGTTCCTGTTGGTGAGAAATGCAAACAATAGAGTCAACCAAAAAAAAAAAAAGTGTGGTCATAGAAGAGCTCAATGAAGACCCAAATGCGAAACAAACTGGTAGGGGTACGCAAAAGCCAAGGGAATCTTGTGCAAGACAAGGTGTTTCTAAAAAAGGCAAAGAAAAGGCAGTAGAGAGGGAATCTTCTACTGTGAAAAAAGACAAAGAAAGAGCTGTTGAGAGGGAATCTCCTGCCACTGTAGAGAAATGGAAAAGTAAAGTCAGTTCTGTTTTTGGGAAAATGAGGGCAAGAGCTTTTGGTAAAATAAGGTGCAAAAATGTAAAAAAGACACGTGATCAAGAAGACCAAAGGTCCAATACAGTGATTGAGGGACTAGTTCAGAAAGAGGTTGTTGACTGAAGTGTAGAAAAGAGCTACTTATCAAGATGTCATCCAATGAAGACAAGAAAAGCAAGAACAAGGACCACAGTCTGTCATGATGAGGAGGAGTCAGCGGACAATCTTGACTCTGATTTTGCAGACCCTAACTTCATTTGTGATGATAATGATGATGATGTCAATTTTGATAAATGGGTGGACAAACAAACTGAGTGGGTTGGAGATGGGGAAAAAGGAAAATAGCCAGAGTCAACAAATGTTGGGGTTGAATCTTGGGATTGGGGTGCAAATGTTGAACTGGATTCAGAGGAGTATGATTCTGATAATGTGCAGCCTAAATATGACTATGATGATGACACTTCAATGACGGATAGATGGCTAGAGTTCAATTCGGCAATTGACATGGCAGATCCAGAGTTTGAGGTTGGGATGAAGTTATCGATTGTAAAGTTTTTAGAGCGGCTGTGAGAGAACAATTTATAAAGAGGAATAGGGATGTTGTATTTGTGAGAAGTGAGGCTTTGAAGCTAAAGGTAGTTTGTGCAGATCCAGATTGCCCATAGGAGATATATACTTCTAAAATGCAGCATGAGAAGACCCTTCATGTTAAGAAATATGAGGGTGAACACACTTGTGGTATTGTTTGGGAGAACCTCACTGTGAAGTCTAGTTGGCTGAGTGCCAAATATATGGAAACATTAAAAAGCAATCCAAGTTTGCCAGTTAGCTCATTCATGGAGACTGTGGAGAAGGATTATAACACTGGAGTTTCTAGGCAACAAGTTTATAGGGCAAAAGAGAGGGCATTGAGGCAAATTGAGGTAATATACATATAGCAATACTCCAGAATTTGGGATTATTATGAAGAGTTAAAGAAGACCAATCCAGGAACAACAACCAAAGTTCAAAGTGATTTCAATGAACAATTGGGTCATCCAGTGTTTCAAAGGTTATGTATGTGCCTAGGTGCATGTAAAGCATGGTTCATTGCTGGATGTAGACCCATTATTGGATTGGATGGTTGCTTCTTGAAGGGTGTATATGGAGGGCAATTTTTAGCAGCAGCTGGTATATATGCTAATAATGAAACATGGGTGATTGCGTATGCAGTAGTTGAGTCTGAGTGCAAGGAGTCATGGGTTTGGTTTCTGGAATTGCTGGTAAATGATGTAGAGATTGTTAACCCGTTTAGATACACTTTCATTTCAGACAAACAAAAAGGATTATTACCAGTTTTTGAGCAAGTTGTTCCTCATAATGAACACAGGTTTTGTGCAAGACATCTGTTCACCAACTTCATATTACAATTCAAATGGAAAGCTTTGTCTGACAAATTCTGGGGTGCTGCAAAAGCAAGAACTGTTCCACAGTTTGCAAGACATATGGAAGAGTTGAAAAACCTTGATATGGATGCTTATGATTGGCTGACTGAACCAGGAAAACCTCATAGGCATTGGTCTCGATCACACTTCAGCACTCATGTGAAGTGTGATATGCTTTTAAACAATATGTGTTAGTCCTTCAACTTATTCATATTGGCATGCAGAGATAAGCCAATACTGACCATGCTTGAGATAGTTACGTGTAAGTTGATGAGGAGGATACAAGGCAGAAGGGACAAAATGAAGAATTTGACAAAGGAAATTTACCCCAAGATTTTTAAGAAGGTATAGATTAATAAAGCAAAAGCAGGTGGTTGTGTGACTATGTGGTCAGTGGAGGAAAATTTCAAGTTGGCAGTGGTGGGATTTCACAGTATATTGTGGACTTGGATTTGAGGACCTGTTCTTGCAAAGAATGGGATTTGACAGGTTGGCCTTGTGTTCATGGAGTGGCAGCTATAAATTACAATGGGGGCCTGAAAGTAATGATGGTGGGATTTCACAGTATATTGTGGACTTGGATTTGAGGACCTGTTCTTGCAAAGAATGGGATTTGACAGGTTGGCCTTGTGTTCATGGAGTGGCAGCTATAAATTACAATGGGGGCCTGAAAGTAATGAATTATGTGGATGCATGTTATCACACTCAGACATATTTCAAGGCATATGAAAACCTCATACTACCTATGAATTGGATGGAGTTGTGGGATATAACTAATATGCCACCATGTGTGCCTCCTTCATACTCCAAACAACCTGGAAGGCCAAGAAAGCTTAGAAGGAAAGAAACAGGTGAATGCAGCAACAAGGCCAATGTTGTTTCAAAAGTTCAAGACTTACTAAGGTGTGGCCAATGTGGAAGAAATGGCCACAATAAAAGGACTTGTCATAGAAATCTCCCCTAAAAAACAAAAATAAAAAAGAGGAAGGCTGAGGTAAACATCTAAGGTTGAACATTTGTTAATGTTAATGTTTTTGGAATATGATGCAACTAACAAGTTTGATTTGTTGTCTCATCCCAGTAAACTACTCAAACAAGTGAAGCTGGTCCCAATATAAAAACAAGGCAAGCTAAGCCTGCAAGATCTGTCCAAAAAGGAAAATGGAAGAGAAAGGCAACCAATGCAACTGGAAGTTCAAATGCACCACCAACTGATTCAGCTGCTCCATCCTTAACACCTGCAACTGGATCTGCCTCTCTTGCAACTGGATCTACCCATCCTGCATCAACTGAAGCTTTAACTGGCAATTCTTATTTATTGAGGAAACGACCTATGGTTGTGGGAACATCAGACTTGAGCAAAGAATGATGATAGTCTGTGTTGTATTAGCAGGTTTGGTTATTTTGAGCATGAGACAGTTTTACCTTTATTAGCTAGTTGGATTAGGTTATTATGTTATTAGCTAGTTGGATTAGATTATTATGTTATTATGTTATTTAGGAAGATAGCTTGTGATCAAATATGTAAGACAGGTTCTGTTTTTTTGGAAAACGGGTACTGTGTTTTTGGAAAACATGTACTCTTGTTTTGGAAAACATGTTCTGTTATTTTGGAAAGTTGTAAATATTGTTCTGTGGCCTATTTTGTTGTAATACTACAAGTGAAAATCAATTTGCTCATATGTTGTACACACAAGTTGTTGGAATGAACATGTCATTGCATTACCAAAATCTCACATTGTATGCAGATTACATAGCCATTCTCATTACATAACCAAAATGCAAAATGTTCATTCTCATTACATAACCAAAACCACACTGCTTTCCATACCAAAGACACAATGCAGACCTAACCAAAAGCACAGTACTTCCTATACTAAAAGCACAGTGCGTCCCTAAAACACCCCCTTTCATGCCAATTCTAAAGTCTTCAGCTTCAGTCCATCTGATCCACCATTCCGTCTAAAGAAGGACATTGCAATAACCATCCACGACACCACCAATGCTGCCTAAAGAACCTTCTCTCTACGTCTAGCCTTTGCTAGTGAATTCTCCAACTTATCCTGCGATTTTAGCAACCCCGGAATCACAACTTTAAACCTTTCACACATTTCCACATCATACCAAACTCAGAAATCACAACCTCCTCTACCATGCACAATACCCACTCTGTAAATTAACATTTGCACCTGCTACAATTCAAATTTTAATATTTTGCACAAAATCCAGTTTTTTACCTTTGAACACACAGCGAATCGCCTCCCAAGATTCGAACTTGTCCACGAAGTTTGAATTCTCGCATTCTTACCACACCATCGCCTTATGCTCCATTTCTCCTTCGTTTTCTGGGTTAAGGATCTAATACAATCGGGCTGCTCACTTCTTCGAAATCGTATATTTGAGCTCTCAGCTATGGAAATTTAGGATTTATGTTAGGGTTTAGGACAAATTTGGGGCTTTCTCTTCGTTTTTCAGTTGAGGTTGAAAACGAACGACGGTTTTGGGCTTTTACTTCAGTCGTCTTCTTGTAAAGCATGCCCAATTTTGGGCGCGATGTTCAATTTTTATTTTTATTTTTTGAATTGTAAAAACCCAAAACTGCCCTTCCTATGGCATAAGAGGAATGGTTAAATCCCTGGTGGGGTAGGTCCTACGGGTTCAACGTTAGCAGTTAACGATTGACCGTCTGGTCAACTTAACGGAATGATGAAATTGGACGATGTTCAAAACGTCATGGCGTGAATTGATAAAATTGATACTGTGGAGTCCAATTCGAGAATAACCCTAAACCAGCAGGGTGTCTTTTGTCATTAGCCCTAAATTATTTATTGAAATTTATAAATTTAAAATTTAACATTTTAAAAATATATATATACATAAAAATAAAATAAAACACCCTACCCAGATTCTCTCTCCTCTCCTCCTAGCCCACAGCCACCCAAACCACCACCCAAGCTTACTCAGGCCATCCATCCCAACCTTAACACCTCCCTCATGCCACAGATCTGATCATTTTCCCCAAACCACAAACCCCAAAACGATGTCGTGTTGCAGTTGCAGATCAAAATTATCAAATCCTAAACTGAAACGAAGATAGTTAGAACAAGAAACGGGCCGCGATCGAACGGAATGGTGCCGCTGTTAGCAATTCACTCGGCGAGCTAGTATTACAGGCTCGACTGGAAGCCTCCGGTTACCGCTGGACTCATTGCCGCCAATTCTCTCATCTACTTACGCCCTGTTTTTCTCGACCCATTCTCCCTTCCCTCCAAGAAGTCTAGTTCAACCCCCACCTCATCCTCAAGGTAATTTCTCATTCTCATTTCTAAGTTCACAAAAACCTCAAATGGTTGAAATGTTATCACTCTGTAATAAACCTTGAATTATTAGTTTTTGTTCTTTTGATTTCATATGTGAATTGGGTGTTTTATGTATTGATCCGGATAAGCTGTTTGTGAAATTGCTTGAACATAATGGAGACTTGAAGCGCTTCTTCTTGTCGTTGTTCTATCATATGGGAAAGTCTCACCTAGCAAATTATCAAGATATTCTCATAGCCTCCACCATAACGAGATTCTCAATCAATCTGTAGACCTCGAACCCAATTACCAAATTGTCATTCTGCCCCTCCATCTCCAAACCTCACGCATTCTTCCTCATCACCCTCAATTTCTCGGCCTTCGTGGATGCCTCCGCTCTCTCCACCGCCTTCTCCACCATCTCCTTCAACATGAAACGCTCGCCGTCCTCCGTCGAGCCGTACAAATGGTCATTGAACAGCCCGGACAGGTCCGGTCAGGCCAAGAACGATTTCAAATCGAACGCATTCAAACAGAACTGGGTTGCGATGGCTCGAATGGTGTGAGGAGGGTGGGTTGGAGGTTGGGCTGGAAGAGAGGGGATGGAATGGGGCTGTTTACGTCTTTTTACCTTTTCCTTTTTTTTTTCATTTTTAATGATTTTAATATTATTTAAAATTTATTTTTAACATGTATATAATTTTTTACTATTTATTTGTCCACCTGTAAGTCCACGTCAATTAAAAAATAGGTCCCATAAATTCCACATATGCAGATAACAAATTTTCTGATGATCTCTCTAACGTAGGTGGCAAATTGTAGGTTTTCCGCGACGTTGAGTATGTACTCGTAAATGTCCCAAACTCGGGTATGAACTCGTAAATGACCATATAAGTTGAGGGATTTACTGTAGTTTACCATTTTGTTTTTCTAGTAAAGGGCTTGCTTTGCTCCTGCTCCTCCTTCTCCTTGCCATTAGGATCCAATCCATCCAAGTTCGGGTTCGCATCGTCAGGCCCAAACAGCTAGTGGTTACTTAATGTGGTTCGGACCCACCTTTGGATCCCTTCCCTCCACCGGGCTTCAATTCAAACACCTCTCCCTCAATCGTGGTCTCGTCTCCCGCTTCTTTTTATTTTTCTTTTCTCAATTGATAGCTATTAAATAAATACCAACACAAATACAATAAATAAAGGGAAGTGATTTTCCTAATTTCCTTTTCTTCATTTACAATCTTTTTTTAAAAATACTTTTTTAATTAATTTTGTTATTTTTTGTTCTTTCTCTTTACTATTATACCATTACCCAACAATTTCCTTTAATAAGAAGACATGTACAATCACTTACTAATATTGTGAAAGAATAAAAATCTGAGACTATTATGCATACTTTACTTTCTGCATATATATGCTCCTAAACACAGATTGGTTAGTAGCATTCTTTGGTTCTTCTATGTAACACCCTGACCCAATTTACTTATTTTTATTTAAATTTATTTATTTGTGAAATTACAATTTTGCCCTTGGGGTACGGGTACTTTAATTACTTTTTGTTTGAGAAGGAATTTGGGGAAATAAGATGTATCGTTGCATAGAGCTTGACGATACGAGTTCGTAAACAGACAGCTAGTTCAATTCAGAGTTAAAATGAAGAAGTTATAGTTTGCGGAAGTGCAATGGCACAACTGTAATTTTTCCAAAGTCAGATTTTTAAAACTAGACAGCTCTCTCTCTCTCTCTCTCTCTCATATTTTCTCTCCCCGCAATGCTGGAACTTTGACTAGAGGTTTCGTCGTCGTCGGGCGTCCGTTTCAAGCGAAATTGATTGCAAAAGTTTTCTATCAACGTCCTCTATCTAACCCACCCATTTTCCTAGCTCAAAACCTCAAGGATTTCGTACTGGATTGACATAAAGTTTTGGCAGAAACTTCCACCGTCGCTGGTGACGTTTCCGACCACTTGGAACAGGTAGCTATCTCATCCCTTTTGCTTTCCCCTAAGTCACAACACCATTGGTGGTTGTCGCTGTAGTTGCAAAGCCAGGAAGTTTTGGCTTAAATCCTAACGGATTTGGCTTCAATTTGCCTAGTTCCAAAAACTTTTTGGCCAGGGTCCAAGACCAAAAATGCTCCTTTTGTTAGTATGAATGTTTTGGTATAGGTACTGTACGGCGGAAATTTTTCAAAACACCCACATGCTGCCGACGAGTGGCGACACGTGGGCCACCTTGAGGCTGCCTATTGTGTTCTTGAATGTTTCTCATGTCGTTCTAAGTACGACGGTGTGCTCGGATTTGAATTTGGTTATTGTTTGACTATCAAATGGATATTGCACATACTATGTGATATTCGGGTTCGATAGGTTCGGACCCTTCGATCAGTTCCAGTTTCAAATATGGTGTTCTCTGTACCTCTAGAATCGTGTAGGAACTTGCGGATCAAAAATTGGAGTCCCGAATACTCTGAATCAATGATTCTAAATTTAGGCGAAACGATCGTCGTTTGATCATGCGATTGGCTTGGATCCAAGCGCTTGATCGAGACCAAACTTTCGGGACTTGTTTAGTAGACTTTGTTGGACCTATAGGAAATTTCAGATCGGAAATCAGAGGTCGTGGGCCTGACGGGCCCAATTAACCAGTATGAGAAGTTTGACTGCTCGGTTGACTGTATCATCCTTCAGGAAGTACTGGAATAACCTTATAAACTTTCTTAAAGGTTGTGCACACTTCGAGACCTAGGAACTCGAGTTTTGAGTTAAAGTTTGTTGTTGGGTACATTTTTTAATTAAGTCCGTTTATTCTCTTGAATAGGTACCCACACTTCAAGTACTCCAAAGGAAAAGCCCTCTCAGGATTAAGCAGCGTTGGACTTGTTGTGAGTGGACATTGTTTTAAATGAGTATTATTTTTCCAATATGGAATTGCATGCATAAATGAGATTTGATTTAGAACTTGGTTTATTGGGATTGTGAGATTTGATATATGTTTTAACTATGGCTTTATAGTATCTTATGAGATTACTAGAACTTATTGTTAGTTATAAAGTATATAGATGGTGGGTTTTGGATTACGATTTTATTGGAATGTGATATGGGATTTCCAAGGATTATTATTATTATTTTTTATTTTTTATTTTTATTAAAGTATATGGATTGGGTGATAATGTTTTGGGTTATACGTTTTTCGGATGAGTTTACAAATTTGACTTTTTCATTAATATGACTTTTGTAAATTTCATATGGGAGAGTGTATTTTATTATATATTGTTGAGGTAGTATTAAATATATGGTTTTCATTATGGTATGCTAAGGTACAAATTTAATAGAATAATTTTCAAATATCGGTTGATATATATGTATGCATACAAAGGATTTTTGTGCTTGGCATTATTTTCTAAAATGGAGGGGTTATTTATGTTGCATATAAATTATGTTAAACACTTTGTTTTCGTCCACTCACATTTTATGTTTTGTGCCCCCCGATTCTAGATATCCGAGGTCAAGACCACCATGTCGAGGCATCGCGGCTGTCCGCTCTATAAAAACTTCTTCTTTATCTTTTTCTACTTTTATTTTTCCCTGGGTTGTAAACGTAAATCCTAAGATTGCTCTGTTAATTCCCACGTAGGGTTGAAGTTGAGGCCCGATGCCTATCTTGTAAACTATGTGCTTAGCATTGTGTGTGCTGCATGTTGGGAAGTTATTTTTTGTTGTTTTCAACAGGTGGAATTTTTTTGGTAAAGTCCACTTTTCACGGGAGATTCTACCGAAATTTCTGCAGAAGTCAATTTGTTTATTGGTTTAAATTAGAGCTACATGGCTTTTTAGTAAAGTAGGTTCGACATCGGGTAGATGTCGAATAGGAAGCAGGGCGTCACAGATTCTAATGAGGAATCCGGGGCAAGTCCTGTAATTCTACTTGTAAACATGTTAGCTCAAAAAATTTATTATCTATTAACTATAACAAAGATAAATAGCACTCATATACTTGGTACATAAAAAATAAAAAATTTGGCGTACAAATACTTACATTTCTATCAATTTTAATTTTATTTTTGTTTTTTGTTTTATTTTTTGTTAACTTTTCTTAATTTCAGTTATCAAAACCTTAATGTAAGATAATGGTATAATGGAAAAGAGAAAGAACAAAAAAAAATATTGATTCTAAGATTTTAAAAAGCAAGATAAAGTGTAAGTGAAGAAAAATGGAGTGAGAAAATCAACTCCCTAAATAAAATTTCCATTACCTTTATTTATTGCTAAATTTCCAATATATGAATTACAAAAAGTGATTTTTGTAAAAATGTTACCTGAACTTATACATCAATTTCAATTTATCACCTTAAAGAAAAATTTGAGAGAAATATCACCTTAATTTTTGAAAATCCATTATTTGTCATCCCATTTTAACACCATTCAATTTTCCATTCATTATAAGGGCATTTTAGTCTTTTTGATTTAAAGGTATTTTTAAAATGAAAAAATCATTCTTAATTTTTTTATATCTTTTAAACAATTAAAATTGAAAGAAAAAAAATCTCACATTCCCTCATCCTCTATGTGCCACCAGCGACTCCAACCAATCCTATCCACCTTGAAATCCATTCACATTCCCTCTTCATAACCCCTTCCTCCTCTATGTACCATGAAACATCTACCCCACACACAAATTCCCTCAGCCCACCCAAACAGAGTCCACCTTTTTTTACTTCTTCTTTTATTTTTTATTTTTTTTAAATAGTATTTTTCCATTTCCATGCTCTGAGAGAGGAGAGAGACATAGAGAGAGAAGAGGAGCAGGGGGAGTCCAGTGCGATGTGTTTTGGTGGCGGGTGGAGTTGGGGTTGGGGAGAAAGGGAGAGCTATTTTTTCTTTGTTTCTTTTCTTGAAAATGAAAAGACTAAAATACCCGTAAAAATGGATGGTGTTAAAGTTGGATGACAAATTTGACGGAGTAACCGCCTTTGACGCCCGACACCATTGCGGCAGGAGGGGGCTTGCCTATCAACCTGCTTTGCCAAAAGGTGGCAGGAGCGCAAGTATCTAGTCCAAACCTACTTGGATGAAGCAACAAGGCGTATGAAAGGAGTATGGATTTTGAAAAATTAAGATGACATTTCTCATAAATTTTTCTTTAAAGTGACAAATCGAAACTTATGTATAAGTTCATGTGACATTTCTACAAAAATAAATATATATCTCATGTATTTTCAATTTATCTAATATACCATCTTTCACGCGTTTTATACCATGGAGAACATAATTATATGGGACTGTTCCAATATTAATATAAGATTCATTATAAGGGCCACAATTGACGGATGGTTAATACTCATCCACACATGCTAACGAATCCCTCAAACAAAGGTTATCTACAACAACAACAAAATTCAATGAGTGAAATCGTTTATTTTTTAAGTCTTTATTTATGGTTCATTCTTAGAAGAAAAAAAATAGACAAATTTAAATTGATTAAGACATCTAGCTAGTTTAGCCAATAAAATAGACCAACATGATGCATGTATAAATATACATCGACCAATCAATTAATGGCGGGCTACGTTAACTTATGGCATCCGCCGCCACTCATGAACCTTCTTTAAAAATTAAAATGATCGTTTTGCAGGTGTGGTGTAGTTTAGTTCAGAATTCCTCTCATTATATATATAGGTCAGGATCGGGGTCAGGATGCAGGCCAACCGCATCCATAGTCAAATTTGAAAATTGACTTATAAAGTGGTGTTCCACAACCAGCACAATATTGTAAACCCTTTCTTCACTGAATTTTGACTCTCTCCCTTTCCCACGTAGAATCCTAAACTCTTCACTCCTAATACTAGTAAGTTCATACAATCCATGATCAATCACTAGAGTCCGCTATAAAATGCTTATCTCAGTCAACACTCTTTGCACTGCAGTCTGCAGTTGGGTTTGAAACTTTGAACTCCATCCCGCCAACGTGATGCTTTTTTCTCTGTTTGAGGTTGGTGCATATTTTTCCTTCCTCTACCAGGATACCTCGGTCCGTATTCGACACTCACCTTAAAGTTAACTCACATCATGACAATACAAGAAAGACTACTTCGAAACTCACCAACTTTGTTTACCAAATTTTGTTTGTCCAATGATGTACCATTTTTTCATTTATGCAAATATGAACCCACTTTGAATTTCACATTTCTAACAGATAAAATACTTGCATGTGCGCTAGCACATCACCTGGGAGAAAATTTGGTGAATAAGATGTGGTGACAGTGAGCAACAGAAATCGGGTACTATACACCGTCTCATAATCCGTGGATACCAGTAGGATGTATTGATCCAATAGACTCGTTGAAGAAAAGAATCCCAGACGAAGAGCTGGTTCTCATCGAATTGATTACTTATTCCTAGTAACGGTTCCTACTACACTCATCAAAGCTTCATCAAACAATCAACAAGAGAACTGTAATGTTTTGAATTTATTTCCACTCCCTTGGTTGGTGTTCATCTACTTAGCACAGCCCTCAAAGAAAAAACTCAAGCTAGAAATATATTTTGTAATACAGTTGCATAAATTCAAGCAATAGGTTTTGAATATTATATCCCGCATCTTGAAGCTGGCTCCAGGAGCAAAATCAATAAGTTCAAACATAATCAGAAAATTCAACATCGTTAGCATCATGTATGCTATAATTCTGTTTCCTTATTTTGCAGTGCGACAGAGTTACATCTGACTTATATGAGATAAATCAAATTAAGTAAACTCACCTCATTCAAGCTCTCCCATCCCACTCTTCATAGAACTCCACAAGAAACTCCTCCATGAACTTGTGCCTTCTCTCAGCTCTCTTTTGCCCAGCCTGAAATCAATGTCCAAACTCCATAGCACAAATTGATAATTCTTTACATTTTTCTCGTTATTCAAAAGATGGATTTACCACCCGGATATTCTCATTGTATAAATGATATATATATATATATATGCACTTTAGCACAAGCACAGATGAGACACGAAGATGCATGATGGATGCAAATGAGGAAAATTCCATGTGAGGAATGTGTAATATCATGCTTCTGTTTCAACAAATTTACCTTTGTTTTCATCAATGACTTTAGCTTAAGAAGCTTCTCATGAAAGTGATTCACAGTAGTCTGCTCATCTTTTTTCATGTACTTTTCCCTGGATAAATCAGATCGTGGCTGAATGTTAGGATCATGTAGCACTCTGTTTCTACTTCCACCAAAAGTAAAGCAACGAGCAATTCCTGTACCAAAAGACTACTTAGGATTGTGCACCAGCGTGAAATGGCATAATTTGTTCTATCGTCTAAAGCATTTTTTAACAAACTTCACAATGGAGATACCTCAAACAAAAAAGGGGAATGGAATAAGGCAAGGAAAGAGAGATATACGGACCAAATCAAAGCGAAAGGTCATAGCCAGAAAAACAAACACAAACAGAGAGAGAGAGAGAGAGGGTGGAAAGACATGGAACTTTTCTGTCTTTCATTATAGGCAATTAAGAAGACACCAAAGATCGTTGGGGCATAGAGCAAACAGCTATGCACAACTGTTACTTTTACAGCAGTAATCCCAATTTTAATTTTACATAGAGAAAGTAGGTAGACAAAATCCAATGGTTTTAGAACCAAGGATTTTTATTAGCAAGTACACAAATTACCAATAGCACCAATTGCATCGAGACGGTCAGCATCTTGTACAACCCCAAATTCTGGAGGAAGATCATTATTTGCTGACCCTGCAAGCTCATCTTTGAAACCTGGAAAGTAGAAGTACAGGTAGAGCACCAAATGAATGAACAAAGGAGCGGGCAGAAAGATCAGAATTGAACAAAAAATTAAAAAAATACAATGAAATTGCAAAATTGCATATGATTATTAAGTGGTATAAAACATTACATGGCGAAAACAGGGGATGCATATTTGAGTGCATGTGTTTACACACACACCTATATGGGAAAGAGACATGGCGTGGACGCTGATGCAGTACAAAATGCTGATATGGATATACCATTAAACTCAAACAAATGTAATCAAGATTATATCAGCAGAGCAGAACAGGGAAGAAACAAAGTTGAGAAGGAGCAGCAACCAACTTACAACTTACCCATTCCCTTAATGATCCTTAAAATCTTCATTTTGGAACTCTCTTCTATGCCCTCCTCATCAAGAAAGTTTTCAACCATTTTTTCCTCTGAGGGATCTCTACATTCCAACATTAGCCATAAGGATGAATAGATGCAAGAACCATAAAAGAAAATAGAAAAGAGAAAAAGGTAAAAGAAAAGAAAGAACGAGAATAATACAAACCTCAAATACTTATAATCACCTGCAATGAACAACCAAGGACTAATATGGTCAGTAGGATATATAGGATGAGAACAGGAAAATAAAAGCAATGCTGAAAACCATGGAGAACAGAATTTGCAGAAATGAGTTTGTTTGTGTAGATATATGCATACCATTATTATGAGTTGAGTTGATTAGTACAGCTCACATAAGCAAGAAGGCAAGTGGTTACATGTAGCCAAAGAGAAGTTAAAAGTAAAGATTTAGGAATGGGCGCATGTTTTGCAGTATGAATCTTCCCCCAAAAAACTCCATATCCATTATCCACCCAAATGTAATCCATTTAATTGAAGCACACAAAAACAAGCTTCAAAGTTATGATCTTAACACTGACCTATATCATGGAGAAGTGCAGCAAGTTCGACCTGCCGAAGAAGAAAATTATCGATTAAGAAACTTTATAAAAGTCCTTCAGTTCCAAAACTCATTTAGACAAGATATCAAGAAGATAATAAATAAAGGAATGAATAGTTCGAACAATTTGCATGGTGTTGGAATTGGAGGAGGGGAGGGAGAGGCCTTGTTCTTCACGGGCAAGAGAGAGAGCGAGGTCTCTGACCCTCCAGACGTGAGCTGCGTCGTGGGATGCATCATTGTCTTTCATGGCTTCCTTCACCAGCTTCTCTGCCTTTCTCACCGTCTCTTCCCATGATCCCACTGACCCAATCGTTCTCTTCCCTTCCCTTCCCTGCTTTAATTTCTGCTCTCTCTCTAGAGAGCAGACACTAATCTTTACTTGGTATTTGGATTGGAGTGGAAGATTTGACTGGAAGACTTGCAGTCTTTTTTTTCTAGTAAAGGGCTTGTTCTGCTCGTCCTTGCCATTAGGATCAGTGGCGGACGGATTAAGGGACAAGAGGGGTCGCACGATCCCATGAAATGGCCGGAAATATGGCTGTGGACAGCCTGTGGAGGTCTGAGTAGACCGCATGACTAGCTGCAAGATGACCCCAAGATGCACGCAAGGTGCTCGACGATATGCCATGGAGCCTGCTGCGCGCTTGAGCTGGGCCTTTTTCTTTTTCAAACTGCCTGGCCAAAACGACGTCGTTTTGGTCCAACCCAAACCCCTCCTCCTCACCACCACTACTCTGCCGGCGCCACCCATGTTAGTAGAATAAATGTTCTTCCATCATTTCAATTTTGGTTGCTGGTCACTGCTCTAGATTTATTTATCAATAACTTGATCTACCTAATAAGCTCCCATAAAGTCAGATAACTGATCTTTGCTAAAGCGGTTAGAGAGAAATTTGTGCAAGATATATGTGAGATATATTGAAATAGACATTGCTGCACATGAGATCTTCAAAAACCCTGTGTGTGTTTTATTTATTTATTTATAATTTATAATTTTTAAAAAAATAATTGGATAGGAAATGACTCATTTGTTCTAAAAAAATGCCTCAACAATTTAGTTTACAAAAATTTCGACACTTTTACGCTGTGACCCTATGACCTGAGAGTTCTAGATCCGCTACTGATTAGGATATGATCCATCCAAGTTCGGGTTCGCATCATCAAGCCCAAACAGCTGGTGGTTACTTGATGAGGTACCACCTTTGGATCTCATCCCTCCCCCAGGCAAGCACCTCTCTCTCAATCGTGGTCTCGTCTCCCACTTCTTTTTATGTTTCTTTTCTCAATTGATAGCTATTAAATAAATACCAACACAAATACAATAAATAAATAGTGCTGCTAAATTAACCTTAAAATTAAATGAGTACACTTTACCACCAAATTATTTATTGAATTACTAATTTATCATAATATAAAATGACCAAAAAGAATGTATTTAATTGTGAAACAAATACAATTTTAATAAGTACATCATACTCACCATATTCTGCTTAATCAAAAGTCAGCCATCGTTATCAATTGAAGAAAATCTAGTTGTTTCGTCCAAAAAAAATATTGAAGAAAATGAATAGATGTCTCGTGTATTTTCAATTTACCTAATATACCATATTTCACGCATTTTATACCAATCATATATCCACCACCAATTGTTTGCCCGTTTTGCGTTTACTCCTGTGATGGAAGGGCAAAGTTCCCCACTGCCTTGAGAACCATAGACTGGTCAACAAGTCAGCTTTCTTTGGTGTGCGAGCGTGCCACTGCTAGTAATAAAAATTCTAGCAGACTTAGTTTGGAATGGATAACTTGCGCCCCAAGTTACTGATTTCTGCAAACAAACGATTGTGAATTTGGGTGAGGAATATCTCCCAAGTAAGTTCTTTTCTTGCCTCAGACTGGTGAGGACTTTAACAATTTATCTCAGTATAACGAGGTTGTTCTGGCCAGAATGGTTGATGGAATTTAAACTGTTTTTAGGCAGAACTGCCTTTTACAAAACTATAACAATAAATACTCATGCTAGAGAGATGAAGATACAGTTGGAACTCCATTTCTGTCGAGATGGAAGGTTCTGTTCTGGGCTGGATTGGAGATGCCTGGGCTGGACTGGAAATGTCCGGGCTGGACTGGAGACGCTTGGGCTGGACTGGAACGTTGACAACCTTGACTGCTAAGCTTCAACTATAAATCGATACCAAAGGTTGATTCTGGCAGAGCTTCAATGTACCTTAAGCTTTTGTGAAGCTTCTGAGTGGGCAGAACTGCGGCTTCTTCAGTCTGTAAGGGCAGAAGTGGCTGTTCTCGAGGACTTCAGTGGGCTAGAGACTGCACTGTAAAATTTGTTGAGGTTTTCATGTTTGGGAAAAGCTCAAGCTCTACCTGTCTTGGTTTTTTTGCTAAACCAAATTTGTAACGAGAGAAATCTCGTTTTGAATGACTTATTTTCTAAGTCTGAACCTTGGGAATTCTAATCTAAAGCTGGTTTTCACTTGGAATTCAAGTGAGCTTCTGGTTGATTTTGAGTTGTTGTTGCTTAATGAGCTTTGGTTGCTTCAGTGTTTTGAAGGTTTTTTGAGATCAAGTGATCATTTTGAGTTTTTGTTTTTGATTGATTTTTTGGTTGTCTTTGTAGTGTCTTCTACCCTGTTCACCCCTTCTTGTATTTATAGTAAACTGTTTCTTCTCTGGAGTAGGGTGATTGTGTTTATTTATTGGGCGGCAAAGATATTTCCCCCCTTTTCCTCTTCTTCTTCAGTTTTGGCAGATAGGCTCTCAGATAGGCAATTACTTCCCTGATTTTCTTGAAAAGGAACCTAATCTCTTTTCCAATTTCTACTGCCCCTTGTGATATTTTACCCGTGATGGTTAGTTTGATTCCTTTTCTGGACAGCTCCCTGCTTTCCTGCTTATCCCTCTCTGAGATTGTAACTTTCTTATCTCCTTGGGAGAATTACCTTCTCTGAAAGGACAGAAGAAAAAATCTCTGAATATACATATATAAGAGGGATTTGATCTTCAGTTTTTTCAGAATCAATTTGATGTCATGAACCCTTCAATCACTTCTTCTATGACAGTCGCCATTGCTGACTTTCATCCCAGAAATGTTACGTGGGATTGTTCCTATTTCTGGGCTCCCTCTTCCTATTATATTGGGCCTGTGAGGCCCAAATCAGCTTTGTTTGCTCTGATGAGCCTTGGGCTGGACTCTTCTGGTTTTTTGGGCTTCCATCTTTTCGCTGGGCTGGGTGTGTCAATTTTTGGCCCAAACACCAATATTATATGGGACCGTTCCAATATTGATATAAGATTCATTATAAGTCCCACAATTGACGAATGGATAATACTCCTCCACACATGCTAACGAATCCCTCAAATAAATGGTTCCCTAAGATATATATATACTCCTCCACAAGTATTTATTTATGGATCTTTATAAATAAATAAATAAAAATTAGGCAAATTGAAATGGATGAAGACATCTAGCTAGTTTGGCCAATAAAATAGACGAACATATAGAAACAATCATCTAATTGAGTGGTCAAATGATTTTGGATTCAAGTGATTTTTTTACAGATATGATATTTGATGGAATATCTAAAAAGTAAACGGTTCGGATCATTGAAATACAATATATGGTTGACTTTATAAATGTGTCTTTCAAATAAACTTATTTGAGTGATCCCTCAATTTATTGTGTGTGATTATTATTCTAATTTGCGCATATGTAATGACACGTTACTTGTAACACAAAGTTCATTTCAAAATATGAAGTACACAACAAATTTATATGCATCTCATGTGGCATTACCCTACATATCATAAATAGCCGCTGAATAAAGGAAAATGATAAACGCACCCAGGATTTATAGACAATATATTACTCTATAGCCTATAGGACGTCGGCATACAGGTGGCTTTCTTTCCACGCATGCATCATAGCAGTATACACATATTTATCTTGTAACATGTACACATATACCATGCAGAATGAATAATATACATCGACCAATCAAGTAATGGCGGGATGTGTTAACTTATGGCATGCGCCGCCACTCATGAACCTTCTTTAGATATTAAACTGATCGTTTTGCAGGTGTTGTGTAGTTTAGTATTAGTATTACGACTATACTATAGTAAAATCCTTGGCTGCTTGGTGTTGTTGTGTAGCTCCTTCAGAATTCCTCTCATTATATATATATATATGTAGATCAGGATCGGGATCAGAATGCGGGGCCAACCAAATCCATAGTCAAATTTGAAAGTTGACTCAACAACCAGCACAATATTGTAAACCCCTTTTGTACTGAATTTTAATTCTCTCCATTTCTCACGCAGAATCCTAAACTCTTCGCTTCTAGTATAGAGCCCGCTATAAAATGCTTATATAGAAAGCACTTCTAGTTATATACGAACGTTTTTTTAAAAGTTGTTTTATTAGAATCATATACTAATTTTTATTTAAAATCAAAGTGGTTTATAACTCATTAGCAGCGCACTTGAATTTATAAACGATGTCATAAGACATTTTTAGTTACTTGAAATTGTTTTTATTAGCCTTTATAAAAGTGTTCCAAATATGTCAACTCGGTGAACTTAAAAAAACTAGTGCTTACTGTCTTGGTCAGATTTTTGCAAGTAAGGCTAACATCTAGTTGAGTTGAGAACTTGAGACCAGCAATAGGTCAATTTTTGTTCTTTGTTTATCTGGGCAAGAAGATATGGTTGAGTGACATAAAGCAAAAAACGTGGCAACCCCACACACACACATATATGAACTATATAATTGAAACGAAAGAAAGTTTCCTGTTTTTTTATTTTTATTTTTTTGGTTTTCTTTTCATTAATGGAGTAGCTGGGAATTTGAATATCATCACATCATTGAACCCAAAAAGAAAAGAAAAAGGAATCCAGATACTCGTCCTATTCACCTATTGTAATTACTTTTCAAAAAATAAAACGAGTTATTAAGGGTTCGTTTAATAACTATTTCAATTTTAGATTTATTTTTTATTTTTTGTGCTAGAGTATAAAGAAAAATGAGAGTGAGGATGAGATTGAAAGAGATGATATAAGATAGGAGGATGAGAGGAAGGAGTAACAAAAGTGAAAACAATTTGAAATAGATTTTAGTTTTTAGTTTTTGTTTTCACTTTTGTTACTCCTCCCTCCCATCTCTCTTTTTTCTTCTATATTCTAGCACAAAAAACAAAAAACAAAAAATAAAATTGAAATAGTTATCAAACGGGTCCAAATTTTCATATTTGAAGATTGTTGTGAATATTACGGAAAAAGTATGATAATGAACAAGTATATCTTTAGTTAAAAGCAAGGATTAAAATATCGGCCGTGCAGATAATATCGGGCCTCCAATTTACAGATATTTCGAGGGATATATCGTTATCGTTTTGGGTATCGGGAAAAAATCAACAAAAATGACAGATATAGGCATTGAAACACTTTGAAAATAAAAAGTTGATTAGAATGAATAAACCATGCATAAATCCATAGTTTATTTGAACATTGGATTACAATTTAGATGAGTGTCCAACTACATAAATGAAGAGCTCCTATGAGGTTCAAACAATGTGGAACAACCATCTAGATTCATACAATAATCATACCAAGTCATGTAACCCAAGTAATTTGTAAGCCATGTTTGAACATGGTGCACATATGTCTCTCTTGAGCTCCCTACTATCCTCCCATATATGAGATAGTTAGGATTAACCCAAATAGTAGGTCCATAATCTGTTTCATCATCTTGAGCTCCATATCTAGTTCCACTATAATCAGACATGACATAACCATAGCCATCATAAGATTCATTTAAGTTAGTACTAGGTCTATATTCTTTTGATGCATAGTCTATATTCTTTTGATGCATACTCTAAAACATGCATACTCCAAAACATCTTTTGAATTGAATATTGCCAAAAGCCTTCACACATTATCTAATCACTGCACATATACCTCCAAAAAATCTTTTCAGTTTCAGTTTGCTTCAAAACTTTTGAATTATTTTGGGTTTTGTTATGGGTATCGGAAAATATCGGGAATATCGGCAAAATATCGGGGATATCGCACTTATCGGGGATATATCGTCGATATCGGGGAAGATATGACCTTACCCCCCAATATCGGTGTCGACAGTTCAAAATATCGATATATCGGCCGATATATCGGTGTATCGGCCGATATTTCAATCCTTGGTTAAAAGTCATGCCAAGCTTATATAAATAAGGATTCAGTTTGGCTAACCGATATGAGATCCATAAATGTCACTCTTGAGCCAGCTCATGTCAACATAGTTTCTCAATATAATATCTTCAGAGATCTTTCAAATAATAAGCGAACTTCATACTTTGATTCACAAACTTACTTAAGATTTCCTGTCGAAATAAAACTATAAATTTCATATTGATTTGTTTGTATATAAATGATTTGGATTACCCTAATTAGTATATATGGTTGCGGGCAGTTCAACCATATTAATTTCAGGCCGTAATGGGCTCAAGTTAACAAGGTTGTGACTGGATCTGGATTGCATAAATAAGAATATGTATATAAGAATATATTTGCTATTCGCTGACATGGATGATGGACGTCTCAACTCAACTCAATTGAAAATGTGATTTTTCTCTATGTTTTTTGGGCCAAGGAAAATGTGATTGTGTTGAGGAGAAAATGCATAAGGAAATACAGTAATAATAATAATAACGGCACTAGGTTTGATGAGAGAGAGAGAGAGAGAGAGAGAGAGAGAGAGAGAGAGAGAGGGGGGGGTGATGAAAACGTGGACGACGTGAAAACGTGTAAGGACTTGTTCCTTGGCCACCAAAGTCTTAAGTCATAAATGCCTATTCCTAATTAACTCATAATAATTAACCAAACCCTTATTTAAACAATTAATTAACTCTCTCACAATAAAAATGAATCCTAAAATCAATATAGCCGTCGACGCCTAGAGCGAGAGAGAGAGAGAGCGCGAGCGAGCTGGGGTGTTATGTTCAACGCTCTCCCTTCATGGCGATGGGGGAATTGGTCCAAAAGAAAACCAGCACCACTACTAGTACTGATACTCCATCTCCATCTCCATCTCCATCTCCATCCAAACCCAAAACTAAATGTTTCCTCGGTTGCTTCGGATTTTCCCGGAAAGTGAGCAGCAGCCGGCCTACAACTAGCAGATCAAAGTCGTCGTTACCGGAAACCGATTATATCCGATCCCATCATGATCATGATTATCTTCAACAACAACACCAAATTAATAAGTCTAATGATATCGAGATGAAAACGAGCACTGGTAGTCGACGCTGGTACTTGATTGCTTGGTCAAGCTGGAGGTTTTGCGCCAACAAGTCGGCCACCAAAACCGTCCCCATCGACGCCTCCGGTACGGGGACTGGCAAACGGCAAGTTAAATTCTCTTTGAAGAAAACAAAGTCAAAGTCAAAGTCAAAATCCGAGTCTAGTAAGCTCGTCTCCAACGCCGAACGTACAGTCTCGGTCACGGACGCAAAGCCGCCGGGTCTCTCAAGTCAGAGAGAGGATGTGGTGCTGCTGTCTCCAGTCTCAGACCCGCAGCAGACCCAAAAACCACCTCCACAGGTATAATTAATGAATTCCCTTATTTGTTTTTAATTCAGCACTATACTAATTTAGTGAATTAATTTTCTTTTGGTGGCTGCAAATGTTTTTAGACGACGAGCAACACGATCATCCTCGAAAATAGGAGGAGACAATTGGAGTCTTCCAAAGACGACACGTGTCAAAAGCGGTTGTCATTTCGCTGGAAAATTGATTCTCTAAGATCGGGAGGAGGAAGCCAACCCGGTTCACCGGTTAAGCAGGAGGAGAAGAAGCCCAAATCCAGTGGTCGTCGAACAGCCAGCAGCGCGGTGATGTCGCAGTCGGAGTCTTCCCCCAGTCAGAAACGTCAGAGTGGACGGGCCGCCAATTCCGCGCTGCCACGCAATGAACATTCCTCCTCGTCCTCATCCTCCGGGTCGACTGTGAAGGCGAAAGCAGATGATGATCATCAACATCAGCATCAGGCCGTGATATTAATGGCGAGCAATAATAATAAGAAGAAGAAGAAGAATTTGGACCCACTGGTAGGTATGTCCATTATTGTGGTGACGCTGATTATTATGTTATATTGGGGCCGATTGTGCGCCATTCTGTGTACGTCCGCATGGTTTTATTTCCTCCCTCGCTTCACATCTTCTTCAGCCGCAGCCACTGCCACTACCACTGCCACTGCTAGTATGATTTCGGGCTTGGATTTGAATTCCGAGGAATACAAGAAGAAGGTGGTCCTAGAGGGATTCCTTGAAAGGAATAATCACCGCAATAATAATAATATATAATATTATTTCATGAATAACAATTGAAAACATCATATCATGTTATGTTTTGTTATGTTATGTACGCAACATGTATATACTTCATCAAACGCGCTAAGTTGCTCTTTTTTCTCTTCAAATTCTTCTTCTTTAAGTTTCCCATTTTCTCAACTTAATAATTGGTTAGTTATAACAGGTGAGGTGATCATATATATAATATTAGAGATATCCAAATTTAGAATTAGTATTATTCAAGGCTACGTCTCTAATTGGGAAGTCTATCTACAATCTTAGACAACTGAAGGGGGGGTTGGTGTATGCCAACGCCATCACACTTTCATTTCATCCTACGCCACTGGGTTTGTTTGCCGCAAACCACGTCGGGAATGGATGCAACCTCGGTCCGAGTCCTTTTTTATTTTTGTTTTCAGTCAACATGGATGTTGGTTCTTTATGCCAATGCCAAGCTCAGTATATTCAAACTTTGACCTTTTCTTATATCTCCAACTCCATCTAGGCCCTCGCTTCAAATTAACATTTTCAAATTTAATTGATTTTGTTTTATCTACATATATCACCTTTGAATGATGATATAAAAAATGAACGGTTCTAATTGTAACATATGTGTAATGATTTCTACGACTATTCGTTAATCATTAAATAAGTGCAAGTGGAGTGGAGGTGCACTTTGAATGTTCTCAGGCTTTAAACAAAGTCTAGAACATTAAAAATAGAATAATGATACTCGTACTACATTTGTATACCATATTCTTATACTACTTTATGTGGTAAATGAGGTGGACAATCACATCAATTAAAATTATTTAATACATATATATATTATGATTTATTTACACTTTTAAAAAAATTGTTAATTAAACTTTCTTTATTAAAATACATTTCATTGATTTAATTAATATGACATATAATATAGACATACCATATCATGTGATATAAAAATGTGATAAGTGTAGCATTATTCTTAAAAATAAAAGAATTACTCGAAATGTATGACATATTTTCAATCAATCATGATTTGATAACCCATATTTAAAAGCAAAATAAAAAATTGAGATTTGACCAATTTTAGTTTTACCAATAATATGACAGACTTTGCTTTATAAGATTTGAATTTCTAACCAACGGGTGATAAAATAATGATTTTAGTCCAGAAACTGTTGAATCTCCTAAAGTAGCCAGCGTTAAATCTTCGGTATGAAGTGTTAGCGAGCCATTCATTGGTTATGATTTTGGTTACTCACCCGTTTATTTTTTTATTGTAATTAAGATTTATTTTCTATTATATTTATCTGTATATATTTTGTTTGACATTAAGAAACTGTTTGCATCATCGTAGAACCATGGTTGGTATTTAATAGTTTATCCGACCACATAGGAACCAACCCACAACACAAGTTACCCGAACCCGACCCAGATCATACCACATAGTGACATAGGAACCAACAAACAACCCACAACCCAAGTAACCCGACCCAGATCCTAAAACACACTCTCTCTCACTCTCCCCAACCACACGCACAAGAAAAACACTCTGACTGAGTAAAGATTGAATCCATAAACCCTATATCCCCCACTTGCAAATCAGTCTCCTTCTTCGTGCTCATGATGAGGGGCCTAATCTCAAGCGCGAAGCTTGTGGCAAGTAGCAGGGCATGGGTTAAGCCATGGGGTACGTCTTTGCGCAGCTACAGCTTGATCCCAATGGTTATAGAGCACTCGTCTCGAGGGGAGCGAGCATACGACATCTTCTCTCGCCTTCTCAAGGAGCGCATCGTCTGCATCAACGGTCCAATTAACGACGACACTGCCCACGTCGTCGTTGCGCAGCTTCTCTTTTTGGAGTCTGAGAACCCATCCAAGCCCATCAATATGTACCTCAACTCTCCCGGTGGCCATGTCACTGCAGGTCCATTATCATTTATGCTTTCCTTTATTTATACTGTCGACATTTTTTTTTTCTTTATTTGCTGATGGGTTGTGTGAAATTCTCATGTTTTAGTTTTTAGACATTGTCTTGAATAATATGAATGCGAATTAGTGGGTGAATCGATGTCTGATTGTAGTTTCGAGATTTTAGGACTCAGGAATGAGATTAGTCGATTTTGTTTTCTAGATTATGACCCATTTCTAACTTCCATTTTATTACCTGATTTACTTTTGTATGCTTGTTTGTTTATTGATAATTACGAGTTGAAAGAATTTATTTATATTCGCGGTTTCTGTTTTCTTGAAATTGAATTTTGATAAGTTTATTTATAAACTCGTAATGTTTATATATTTCTAAGATTTGCGGAGAGTGAGTGTCACTTGAGATCTTTTCAAACTGCTTCTATGAAAGCTATCTGATATTTGAAATTATTGGGTTAGATGATGATTGCGAATCGTTAGGTCTGGTTTGTATAACCTACATCTTAAGAGAGCATTGTCAGAGAGAGGTGTGGGATTTTCTTATGACTTCACAATCTACTAAGATGTTGAGTGTAACTTGGTTTTAAGAACCCTTCACAAATGTAACCGTTAGAAAAGTTATTGACACACGTAATTATGAAATCATGATATGGTTGTAGCATTTCAAAAGTTTTAGAATCATGGTATAATATCTGCTACTGATGATGGATCCAAGTAAAACAGGTCTTTCAAATTTCCATTGTATGACCAATTGCACCATATATCACCAATGTTAAAGCACTCACGTAAAGTAATTGTATTTTGTCACACGGTCCTTTTCACTGTAATATTTCATAACATCTGAGCTCTGTTAGGGTTTATGTCAACTAAAATGAAATCCTAAATGTCATTAATTTGTAAGTATGAGTTTAACTAATTGAACGCTTCTTCCAATAAGAAGATAAGCAGTGGGATTTAAGTAAGCAATTAGTGCTCTAAGGACTTGAACAGATGGTAGAGCATTAGTAAGCTAATCCCAGGAAAAAAGACAAAAAAGGCCGAGGGTGATCAGGCTTTATAGATGATTTCTGGGTAAGTTAATTGTCTCGTATGGGATTATAAGTTTTGTGAATGTAAGGAATATACTGTTAGAGTTTTGGTAAGGTAGCTGTAGACAGATAAGATTCTTAAGGAAGTAGAGTTTTGTGGTAACTAAATAACTTGTGCTGACTGATGGACGAAAATCTGCACAAAATTATGAGAAGATTAAGAAGAAAACAAACTAGATATCATGCAGCAATGTATAGAATTGTGTGATGCACTTCTTCACTTTTTCTTGAAGTGTCTCTGTATTTCACATGCTTAAAAAGCTCACAAGTCTCAGCTCCATTACATGGTCGCAACAAGAATCAAGAAAACTATTTTTCCATCTTTGAATCTACCATGTCTAGAAACTAGAGGCTTTGGAGCTGAGACTTGCATGCTCTTTAGCGTAATCTGTCTCCTAAAGAATATAGGTAAGACTGAACTGGTAGGTAGAAATTGAAGGGGAACAAGACCTGGCTAAAGCCAAACTTGGTTATGATGTCCTCAATCGTATTCCATCAAATTTGGATTAACGTTTGACTTTCTTTTAACACTTGCTTTCATCAAGCCCTTTTTCATATTTATTTGTTCATTTTGAGGTGAAGAAGTCAACTAATTCTAAGCCTTATAACAGCTACTTGGGGTAAAAAACATAAATTTATGTTGAAAATCCGGTTTTAGTTCAAATGATTGCGATAAGATACAGAGCTGCAAAAAGTTGATGCTACAAACTTTGTTACAGTGCTTATGTTTGTCCTCTTATGTTGGTATGTTTTAATTCTTTAATTAGCAGATGCTCCTAATTTGAATTTTGAACAGTATAGTTATGTTTTGTACTGTAGATAAAAATAGATTAAATAGATGAGACTCAATGCATGATTTGGTTGAAATTCACCAGCATTGTTACATGCTAATGATTGTATTTGTTCATACAGGTCTTGCAATTTATGATACCATGCAGTACATTCGGTCACCTATCAATACCATTTGTTTGGGTCAAGCTGCATCAATGGCTTCCCTTCTCTTAGCTGCGGGTGCCAAGGGTGAGAGGCGGTCACTCCCAAATGCGACAGTTATGATTCATCAGCCTTCAGGTGGGTACAGTGGACAAGCAAAAGACATGACAATTCACACGAAGCAGATTGTTCGTGTGTGGGATTCCCTTAATGCCTTGTATTCAAAGCATACAGGGCAATCCGTAGAGATAATTCAGAAGAATATGGATAGAGATTATTTTATGACCCCAGAAGAGGCAAAGGAGTTTGGAATAATTGACGAGGTCATGGATGAAAGACCAGTGGCTCTGGTGACTGATGCAATTGGCAATGAAGGCAAAGAAAAGGATAAAAGTTCAAAGTAGGAGGATCAGAGATTTGGGTGTCAGTGAGGAAGTAACCATCACTCTTTCTTAGTTTGGTCTTTTAGTTTGACAGAATTATATGTTTGATGTTACAATCCTGAAGTCAACAGGTTTGCTTCTCTTGTTAGCATTCATTTGGATATCAGTATTTTCTGCTCATTTTGTTACATGACATGCTCACCATACAAAGGAGAAACAGTGTATGGGCTATCAGTAAGTATCAATATTCAATTCTCTAGTGATGAGAGCCATCTTGATCTTGTAAAGACCTTAAAGATAAATTTTTGAGGGCGGCAGGTTACGAAGTAAAACATAATATAAATGAGTAGTTTTAAATGGTTTTTAGATTTTATACCTTCTTACTTTGTTTTTTTTTTTTTTTTCTTTTCACTTCATAACTTTTGTAAGTCTCTTCTTATTTAGCATCATTTACCCAAAAAAAAAAAAAAAAAAAAAAACAACCGGAGTCTCTGCATATCTATGTTCTCTCTCTAATTTAAAATTTTAATCTAAATAATTTGTTATGTAATATTTTACCCTTTAACCTAAATACTTCGTTATTCAGTGGTTAACTGAACTTTATTTTAATTTGTTGGTTTATGTTTAATTTTTGCTTTTCTCCCTATATATATATATAAACGATGCAGATTACAAATTCAACAGACCTCATCATACCTTGTTAAGTGAAAATTCACCAACAGAATTTCTTGATTAGAGTTATCTGTAATGAAATAATTTGATATAGAAATTGATGTGAAAAATTGAAGCTGCTGTTAAATCTAGGGTCTCGGGATTCATAATAAAATAAATAGATAAAAAGAGTTTATTATTAAGTAGAAGACCAATAGCAACCAAGAAAGAAAGAAAAGAAAGACTTTGGAACTCTTTGCCACGTACACTGACAGCACATAAAACCATCACTCGGAGCGAGTCCCGACCAACGTCCATCTTCCATCTTCCATCTTCCCAAGTTCCCAATCAAACCAAAAAAAAAAGAAAAAAAAAAGAAAGGGAAAATTACCGATAGGTCCCGTTCTTATTCGGGCATTCGCATTGGTGCCCAACCCAAAAGCCCAAGCCCTCCTTCTCACAAAATCTACAATCTCGCTCTTCGACCGCCTCAATTCCTCTCTACAATCTGCCTTTCTCTCTCTCTAACACACACACTCTCTCTCTCGTTGGCTCTCTGTAATTGCGAATGCACAACCCTGTTGCTCTATCTCATTTTGTCCGATGACCTAGTGCCTCCGGCGCCGGAGCATCCACCGGCCGTCAACCACACGCTACGATTCCAATTCCGAGTCTCTGGGGACTTGTATAGGGTTTTCTTAAGTGCTTCTGCGATTTGATTGCGACGATTCAATTAGGGTTTTTCCTTTTGCTTTCTAAGATTGCGGCGTCCACGCCATGGCTCCGGGGCGTAGACGCGGAGCGAACAAGGCCAAGGCCAAGAGCCAGTTGAGTCTCGGCGATCTTGTCCTTGCCAAGGTCAAGGGCTTCCCCTATTGGCCTGCCAAGGTTTGATTTTTAATTCTCTGTCGCTTTCTCTCTTTTACGGATTCTGCTTCTTCATCTACAACTTTGTGTCTATATGGTTTCCGCCTCTTCATTTACGACTTTGTGTATATGTAGTGTTTCTACTTTACGCTTATGTTTTTGGTTGTGTTTGGGCATTAGGGTTTTCCAGTATATGTTTTTGAATTGCTTGTTGATCGGTGTGCTCTGCTTGGATTTGACTTTTCGTAGAATGTGATAACTAACGAATTTTCATAGGCTTTTGGACTTGTGTGTTTACTGAATGGGACTGAACATAGTGAGGCTTTCAGACATTATGGATATCTTGCCCTTAGGTCTGTTTATATGATGGTCGTCTAAGTTTTTAGAATAAAGTATTTTTCTTTTTGTCATATCTATTTAATTTATTGTTTAATCTATATTGGGTCTAGGATTTGTTGCACTGAGCTGGTATATGGACCATGAACTTTCAGTAATTTGGCATGTTTAGAATTGGTTGTTTTATTTATTTGTTGTTAATAGTAACTCCGTTAGATTTTTGGGTTATAACCAATTTGATTGGCATTTGAACTAGATTTTGTGGGTTTGAATTTTCAGATTAGCAGGCCTGAAGATTGGAAGAAGGTCCCTGATCCTAAGAAGTATTTTGTCCAATTTTTTGGAACAGAAGAGATGTAAGTATATCCCATTTGATAATTTCATATTAGTTCATATATGTTGAATAAAGTCTGTTAGTGAATTGTTACATGTACTTTGGAAAACCTCTTATACATGGTGGTTTCATAACAAGAAATAAGACACTAATATATTGACAACCTAGGGTGTAGATCACAGAAAGGTGAAATTGACAAATTTTTTGGAACGAAAGAGATGTAAGTATATCTTATTTGATAATTTCGTATTAGTTCATGCATGTCAATACATTCTGTTAGTAAAATATGTTACATGTAAATTGAACTACCTGTTATACATGGGCTTTTAATTAAAAAGAAGACACCAGTATATTTGATTGTAGATATGGAAAGTTGAAAATGACAACTTGTTTTGCCAAAATGAATTCGTTTATCTGATTCATCTCTATCTAAGAACACAGTGAAAATACAACCTTTGCATGTGCAGTTTAGTAAACTTTCTCTCCTCCAGTTTATTTTTCAAATGGAAAAGTTCACTTATGGAATGTTAAATCAATTGTTGCTTAGGATTTTCTTGTGATTTGTTCCGAATTTTTATTCTAGTATCAGTAATACGTGTGTTTTTTATGTTAGAAGCTTATCAATAGAAGAACAAGATTGAAATTTTTGCCTGCAAAGTAGTTTGTCTTGGTAGATGAAAAACTAAGTGATTAGGGTTTTAAAAGGTGGAAGATTGTATTTTGACTATTTAGTTCCTACTGGTGCAGAAAAGGGCCCAGTTTTGGGAAATGTTGCATTAAACTGAGCAATTTGTGGGATTGTGTCTCAAATTTGGTGCTGGACCAATGAAAAAGGACTGGGTAATATATAGAGTATAAATAGAATAAGCTTATGGTTTAAGAAACCGTTTTGTAGTTAAAGAATTAGAATGTTCGTGGTTTTAAAAGCTTTTACAATGGTGCACAAATGAAAAGAAAAGAATAAGATCATATGGGTGTCCTTTTCTTTTGCTGTTTGGAGAAATTTGTGGGCATATGTTGTTAGAAGAATTGAAGCGAAAGATGATGAATGAACAGAATTTAAACTCTCTTCTAATGCTTTGGTTTGCAAAAAATGTTGGAAGGAAAATAGTCTAAACTTTCTAGAAAACAATTTCACTAGTGAAATTTACATTTTCTGACAACCAAACACATACACGAAATAGTTTCTTAATTTGTTCCTTCCTTTTTGTTATTTTCAATTACTAAAATCTTGTGGCAAGTGTTGAATTGTGGCAGTCTGCTTTATAATCCTCTACTGTTTTTCTCGTTGAATTGAAAGTTAAAGTTAGACTTCCCGCCTGATTAATATATTAATTGGCCTCTAAATATGGTAAGTTTAAAGCTCGATGTTTATTCTAAATCCAAATTGAAATCACTTAAACCACACCAAGAGCCTGTAATTCTTCGTGCTGTGTCTTTTGCTCCGTTATCAATTTCTGTGCTGTCTGTTTCGTATTTTTGTGCTGGTTAAATTGGTTGCTTCTGATATCTTAATTTGCTTCTTTTTTTGCCCACTCCACAGAGCTTTTGTTGCCCCTGCAGATATTCAGGCATTCACTAGTGAGTCAAAAGTTAAATTAACAGGTCGGCTGCCAGGTAAAACAAAGAACTTTTCCCAAGCTGTGAAGGATATATGTGAGGAATTTGATGAGTTACAAAAAAAGAAATCAAATGATTTGAGGGATGATACTGACCCTGGATGTGAGGTTCCGTCTGTTAATGGTGTAGAGAATAATGGGGTTGAAGTCGAATTAAAGGATGGGGGTGAGGGTACGCAGGACTCCAATGGAGAAACACTGAAGGAAGAAGAAGGCATAGGTGATTTTGGCTCAAAGTTGGAACGCTGTTCACAGATCCGAGGTGAAAATGGCATTGAAGATGTAAATCCATCTACCTCATGTGGAGCAAATGAGAGTTCATCTCCGATAATGTCTTCTGAGACAAAAAATAAAATGTCTGCAGTTTCACAGCCAAAAAAAGAGGTATTAAAGAAATCCAACCCAGATAATTCTTGTGATATGAAGGAAGATGTTTCCGGTAGTAAGCATGAAGATGGTGTTCGCACTAAGAAACACACTGAAAGACAGAGGTCCTTAGCAAATGGTCACAAGTCTACGAAGATTACTGGATCAAAGAGAAAACATGATGGCGCAGTTGAAGGACGCAAAAATAGCTCTTCTGTGACATCATTGAAGGAGGATGGCTCTGTCTTTCTTGATTGCCCAAAATCTGGTGAGCGACTGAGAGATGGAACAAAAGGCAAACTCGGCTCTGGTGGCAGGAAGAGGGAATTTTCACCAGATGCTCGTAAATCAGATAGTGGTATTAGGGGTGGGAAAAAGGCTAAAGACCTGCGTAAAGCCAAAAATCAAATCAAGGTGGTAGATGATGTGAAGGACTCTGTGGATGATCCTGTGGATCAGGCCAAAGACAAACTTTCTGGAAGGACAAAGAAGGTTCAACTTGCGCTTGGAAAGCCTAATTTGGGATCAAATGATATTTCACATCCTGCCAAAAAGTCAAAGCATGTAGACACAGGGGACAATGCTCCACGGGGTTCATTCTCTAAAATTGTAAAGAGTCTATCTCCAAGTTCTGATGTTGTTGATGACAAGACAGTTAAAAAATGGGATTTGAAAAAGTCGAATTCACGTGTGAAAGGAGATAACCATTCCAGATCCCAAAATAGTATTGTTGGACCAAATGCTCCTGGTGATGAAGCTGCTCTACCCCTAACAAAGCGGCGTCTTCGAGCACTGGAGGCTATGTCTGATTCAGATACTTTGGTTTCTGATGATAAAATGGAAAAGGATTGCATTCTGAAGAATGATACTTTGGTTTCTACTGATGTCAGAGTTACAGCAGTTCATACACAGAGAAAGCGGAGAGCTGTGTGCCTCTATGAGGATGATGAGGAGGAGGAAAAACCCAAAACACCGGTTCATGGAGGGTCTTCCCGAAATATTAAAGGGCCTTCATATTCTTCAGATGCTATGAAGAGCAATGATGAAAATCATGAGCGTTTGGATACTGCTCAACCGAGCACCAAATGTCCTG